TTTTTTGGTTGAACTGATTTTTCTCTTCAACTCAAATATAATGTATAAATCTTCTTCGAATGTGTTTTTATGTTTTACAAGAAAATATTCGAAATTTATAATCGAAAAGATATTTTAAGTTTTGATCGATTTTTTTATTGTTAGAAATTAAAATTTTCTGGTTCTGTCATTCTTGTTCTTCAATTGAAATATGAAAAGATGTTATAATAATTATGAGAACAATTATAATTTCAAATGCATTCGGTGTTATTCATTTGAAATTGGAATCATAGTACACAATTACTTGCAATCACAGACAAATGAGGGTAAAATATTTTGAATTCAGACTCTATATTTGAACAACAAATTTCTGTGAAACTTATTTTGAAGTTGGTGTTCTTCATTTAGATTATTGTCCAATCATGTGCTTTCACTGTTAACATTTGTCATTTTGTTGTGCATCCGTTTAGCCTGCACTCATTACCCGCGGCTGGCATGTAACAAATATGTACATGCAAATATCTAATTTTGATTCAACTACAATTAAATTCCATGAATGTGTTATTTTAATAATATCATTGAATTAATAGTAATGCACTATTTTATTTAATTCAATATCAAATAGACGATTCCATCTACATACTGGAATCAAGCTTTGAGGGAAAAATATAATAAAAATCAATCTGCTCGTATTCGTCGTTTTGGTAAGCAGTGGATCGTCCAATGAAGAAAGAAGGGACAAAACACATCGTACCAGGACTGAAGTCTTTCATCCATTATGCTCAAATAGTTAAAGTAACAATTATCATTTTTAGGAAAGTCGAAGTTGAGTGCGGGGATTTGGTGTTCGACATGGAATTTTGAACAATGTATATTGATTTTAGATTGATGTAGAGGTGAATGTGTATGGTTGAACATACTTTGCCTTATTTTTTCATATTTTTAAGTTTGCACTGCAGGTTTTGTAAGGTTCAATGGGGGACGGATGTCATGAAATAATGCAAATTTTTATTTTGATCCTTATCCTTGCGACTTTCCTTTGTTTGATGGTACTTTTGGTTATCTGCTCGATGTCATCCAGTTATGCCAATATACCATTTTTAAAGTAATTAATCTGGAGTTGTTTACATTTTGTACAAGTGTACTGAAATACACAACTAGCTCACGTTCGATAGTACGTGTTGAACTTGTAAATCAGTGTCCACAATATATATGAAATTGAATGTTTAACTTGTAAATCAGTGTCCGCAATGTATATGAAAATTGAATCGTGTGAATGTTGAATTAGGTTAATAAATGAATCATGAATAAATGGCAAACTCATCATCCATACTCATCATCAGCCGAACAACAAGAAAAATAAATGGCAAACTAATCATCCATACTACAGGGAAATTGTGGCACGAAAACTACCATAATTTCAAAATTGCTGATATAAAAACTTTAAAATAAAAGAAGGCACAAGGACAAAGAGCAGGACCACATGTACAAGTACAACATATCAATAAGTGAATTGTAAAACGGTTGGGTTGCTTCTTCATCCAACAGGAGCAAGGCAATGTTCTTGTTGCTTCATTTGTTGATTCACTAACAAAAAAATGAGGGCATATCCAATCCTTGAAATAACTATGGTGGCATATTCATTCCCTGAAACGAGATCAAATAACAATTAGGACAAAGATGTTATTATTATTTTTTTTTAATAAAGCTCAAATCAAAGTGCTTCATAAATATTTCCTTCAAGAAAATGTATAAGTAAATACCAAAACAATACAAAGTCATAAGCAATCCAGCTGAACATAAGCAAAATAATTTAGGTAAACATGGTCAACCTGAGCACACACTATCACAACTTTTGAAAATCAAAATATTCCCTTGCCCCAAGAGAAATGTTCAATCGTTCGCGCACGTTCTGGAAGATACGTTGTGGCCTTCCCATTATGCTCTTTAAGCGCAAACACCTCACATTCTGCCAATTCTTTTTCAATAGAGAAACTATGAAGTTGACACTCATTTGCACGATTTGGAAGATCTTCTTCTTCTCCATGGCGAGGTTTCCAACCGCTACGCCCATGTATAGCACCTTTTACAGCTGAAACGTCACCATGGCCTTTGTTTCGTTCACCTTTGACTCTAGTGATTCCTAGTGAGTCGCGAGAGTTGGGAACTTGTCAGCCTTGTTAAGGCCAGGTCCCAAGAGACGGGGAATCTGCTTGATAACAACTTCAGAGTCTAAAAAAGCATGGTACTCTTTAGCAAGCTTCTTCACAAGCTTCTTGTTTTTGTTCAACTTCTTCAAGGCCTTGACATACATTGACTCCAGCCTGATCTCTTTTCGTCTCTTAAACATGTTGGGCATCACCAAGCATACAAATATTCATTTTGGGTCTCGGGAAGTGGCGCAACGTAACTGATCCACTAAATCGATTGTCCTTCTGGGTGTCATAGTTCTTAAGCCCGATCTGGTGCTCAATTGTCTCCATAAATTTCTCTTCCTCTCCTTACTTCCGCTGTAACCACTGAAATGGCTTCCCTCAGGGGCTCACTCTGAAGCTTACTCATGGTTCAAGTCTTGTTTCTCTCTGAAATCGCTTCTGATAAGAATTTAAACATTAGGATAAATAAGAGATCTTTAAAGAAAAACAATCGCACGTTAACCAAAAAAAACAACTCACAGAGTTAAACAATCTAATGGGCATTAACATAAATAGCATATTCATTATCCCGAGTGAGGCATCACATCAAACACGTAATGTGCTTTTAAGAATACAACAAAACCAACATATCAACAATGAATCGCTAGTTAACCAATCCACCTCCTCACATCAAATCATTATTCGTAACAATCAACTACAATAAAAGGATGCACAACCAAAGTAAAATTTTCACCGAAACAATCTATGTTCATAACACGACTGCAGGGTTTTGTATCAGGAATTGCATAACAAAATTCACAAAAAAATATTCAGAAGCATGGCAAGAATTTCCAATCATACTTCACATTTCTTCGATTGTCTTATTATTTCGATTAACAAATTATAAACACACAAATCACTTTTGAAATAAAGTACCTAAATAAATCGTGCGTGCGATTGAAATCTCAACATATAAAATTCTATCGATAAGGTATATATTGAACGTAAAACGTTCGAATATATGTTGGGGTAATAATATTGTTCTGAGATTGAATCATGAGGAGAGGATGAATGAGGTGGTCGGATGCTTTTTTAGAAGAAAATTGAGGAAGAAGATTTTATTTTTATCTTTTTGAATGGAGAAGAAGAATTGGAATCGTAAAATAATGTTTTAGGTTGTGATGAATTGTATTTTGAATTTGTAGAATTGTTATATAAATTAGATACGCATGTGGGGCTTGAGAATAAATAAAAAAATATTTTTTTTAATTAATTCAAATATTTTAAATTTTAAAATGCAATAAGGGTATAAAAGGGTTTTAGCAAGTACAAAGGGTACGAGACAAAATACAAGGCTACCAAAATTCTTTTTTGCCTTGTACCCTTAAATCCACCATTGATTTCCATTTTTTAGTCAATCTAATGGTGAAATATGTGGGTACCTGATGTTAAGTTGGTACAAGGGGTACCTGACCCTAGATGGTCCATTATTTCTTTCCAAACAGCCCAGAGTAAATAAGAGGTAAGTTGTAACCTTGCATTTGAGAAGTACGGAGAATAGATGAGGGCCTCAGAAGGTTTACAAGGTCAATATTGGGGCAATACTAACTCATCTTCTAGGTAGAATAGAGGATCACCATCCCCT